CATGATTGGTAGATGGTTTTCTAGAAGCAGATTGTTAATTTCAAAATGACATCTTCCTTACATACATTGTAAGGCTGTAGTTGTTTTTCCTCAGAACTGTAAATAAAAGATTGAGCCATGTATGGTGTGTACACCTGTAATCCTAGATGATTTAGGAGGCTGAGAAAAGAATATCTCATGTTTAAAGCCAGCCTGAACAACATAGTGAGACCTCCTCTCAAAATAAAACACAGCAAATCTGACAGGAATATAGGTGGCTAGCCAATGTCTACAATAGGAAAAAAGAATATTCCCTTAAGCATTTTCTGAAATGAATAAAAATCTTTTTAATAAAATTTGATTGACAAGGACATTTCAAAATGCAAAATTAACTGTTAATCTCAGTTAAGAACACTTGTAAAAATTGTAAATAAAATATTAGCAAAGCACATCTACCCATATGTTAAAAGGGCAACACAATAGAACCAAAATGGATTAGGAATATAAAAGTCAGAAAATCACATATTACCTCACAGATGTAGAAATTTTGATAAAAAATACTTTTTTTTTTTTTTTTTTTTTTTTAAGAAAAGGTTTTGCTGTGCAGTTCAGGCTGGCCCTGAATTCACGATAGGGCCCAGGATGGCTCAAAACACAGCAATCTTTTTGCCTCAGCCTCCCAAGCTTGGATTACAGGCATACCCCACCATGCATGCTTGGCATATAATAAAACTTTTAACTAATTTGAACTAGAATTCCCTTAATTTACTAAGAAGATCTATGAAAATCCCTTAAAATGTTATGTGTAAATGTCAGAATTTTTCCAGTTGAAATCTGGAATAAAAAAAAGATAGCTTGGGCATGGTAGCACACACCTGTAATCCCAGCACTTGAGAGTTAAAAGACAAGATCACTGCAAGCTTGAGGGCACCCTGGGCTACATAGTAAACTCAAGCCCAGCTTGAACTATATAGAAAGACCCTGTCTCAAAAAACAAAACAAAACAAAACTCTGCTCAGTGTGTCTGTTTAGCACTAGCACAACACTAGGGGTCCTAGCAGTGCTGTAAGATTAGAAGGTGAATACATGTTAGAAAGAAATCAAGTAGTTATTATTTTAAGCCCAGTCTAAACAGGATTGTGCAAAAAATTTATAAGAATTGAGATAAACTTGATAATTAAAATAGGTAAGACCACTACAGAATACTGTGAAGCATTATTCAAAAAAGTTAGACTTGGGTAAATGGAAGGATACATTATGCTCATAGACTGAAGAACTGATACTCCTCTATTCATCTCAAGGGCCCCAGTTACAATCCCAGCAAGTTGCTCTCCACCTCATAAAGTTGCTGTGGATATTTATTTATTTATGGTACTGGGGATTGAACTCAGGACCTTGCACTTAGCAGGCAAGTGCTTATTCTACTGAGCTATCTCCCCAGCTCCTTGCTGTGGATTTTTTAAAAAATTAAGGTACTTCTGAAGGGGGAATCAAAAGACCATTTGTGTTATTTATTTAAATTTTTTTTTAATTAACTGGTACAGGGTCTCCCTATGTGGTTCGGTCACATAGTGATCCTCCTGTCTTAGCCTCTCAGCACTAGCATTACAGGCATGCACCATCACACCTGGTTTCAGTGGCTGGCACAGTGGCATGGCATACAGTATTAGGGATTGAGCCTGGGTTGCCAGGCAGGCACTTAGACCACTGAGCTATCTTCCCAGCCAAGACCACTTTTTTTTAGCAGGAAAAAAAAAAAAAAAAAAAGATGTCTTATGCTGTGAATTATGGTGCATGCTATAATTCCAGCTCCCCAGAAGTTAAGACCATAGGACTGTGAGTTTGAGGTTAGCCAGTGCTATGTAGTGAGACCTCATAACAAAAAAAGAACAAAGAAACTCTATAAAAGCAACGGTAATTATAATAGCTTGGTATCAGCAAAAGAATGAGAGCTGGGAGTGTTGGTGCATGCCTGTGATCCCAGCACTCCAAAAGCTGAGAAAGTAGGATCACTGCAGGTTTGAGGCCAGTCTGGGCCACATAGTGAGCTCAAGCCTAGCCTGAAGTACAGAGCAAGATCCTGTCTCAACAAAACAAAACAGAAAAAGAGTATGAACCCAAATACTCCTACATAGATTGATGATTGGCTTTTATAGATTAGCAGTTCAGTTCAAAGAGTCTTTTCAATATATTATGCTTTGTAAAGTATTGGCAGATACCTGTATGGGAAAAAAGCTTGCTTACCTAAACCTTACTAAACAAAAAACATTCCTGATCATGTGTAGACTTAAAAATGAAAATGAAATTATAAAAGCTCGAAGAGAATAATACAAATGTTATAACAAATGTTGGGGAAGACATGTCCCTTCTCTTTTCCCTTTTTCCCCTCACCCTGCCTCCCCCTCACTCTAGTGCTAGAGCTTTAACCAAGAACCTCATACACACTAAGCAAGTGTTGTGTCCCCTCCCCTACCTGTATCTCTAACTGGATTTTTTAAACAACACAACAGTGGGCAAAACCCAAATCATTAAGCATGTGGTGGACAAACTTAATGGTATGTTTGTCTGATTTGCTAGGAATGACCCAGTGAAGAGAAAATCATGATGGTTTAAAAGGAGAGGGAGAATTGCTAGAAAAACATTCCTGAAAGATTTAGAATTGAAGAATAAACCAAATTTGCTCACTTGCTCATCACTTCTAACACTTCTCTAGAGTGGTGGTTGCCTAGATTATTTTGTCCTGGCTCCTCTTATTCCCATATATTAGAATGGTTGGACACCTGGCTACAATAATTACCAGACTAATGTTAAGGCACTTAACTGCTTTCCTATTTGGTGAGCCATGTTTTGTCATTTTCATTTTAGTGAAATGCTCTTCTTATTCTCTTATAAAAACCAAAGGGCAAGCAGCCTTGGAATCAGAACTCTTCAAAAGTTCTTGCCATAGCAGCTGCTTTCTGTACAAATGCTATGCTGTCTCCTAGCCATATGTGAGTTTTTAAAACAATTAGGAACTACATTCCAAGTGTTCAGCAGCCACATAGAACTAGCTACTGTCTATTTTTTGGTTGGTCCAGATGTAGAATATTTCTTTCACTGTAGAAAGTTTCATTAGATGACTGTTGAACAGAGTTTTCTGACTTAGTGAACAGACACCAAATAAAATTTTAGCTTGACTGAAACAGGGCAACTAACTCTTACTGTGATTTAACTCTTGACACATTAGGTCACCAAAAATGACTCACCTTAAAAGTCTGTCACTCATTGGCCCTTTACCAGCACAGATTTTCTGCTTAAGAAATCAATTACAGAAGAATTGCAGGACAAACTGTCCTACCTGGAGGTGTGGCAGCATTCTTTACATCTTGGTGGGTTTCTTTAGATTAAGCCTTTACGGCCCAATTAGCTAAGATTGTTAACCATTTGTGAGGTTTTCAAGTAGTTTGCTTCACAAAGGTTGGCTGGCATAAAGAATGTTTCTTTTACATTTATGGGTGAGGACTGTTACAGATTTTTGCTCGTGAGATTAGCATGTGAGGAATCTGCTTTATGTTAATTGGGCAGCTCCCAAATGGTAATTTTCCTCTCTGTTTCTCATTACATAGCCTATACCCAAGCATGAAGGAAAAGCAGTTTCAGGGTGGTATGCATTACATAAGGAAACATTTTGTTAAGATTCCAATAGGAGCTGTGCAATGCCAAGCAAATCTGTAATAGTAGAATGTGAACTGTGAGGGATTCAGAGTTTAGAAACTGGGGATGTGGTAGTGTGAAGGTCTTGTCTTGAGCTCAATCCCCAACACATATTAAAGAACTATAAAATTGATTATATTGGATATAATTTAAAGGTATAATTGAGACTAACAAGCATGATGTGGAGGGGAGAATCCTAAAAATTTGGATACCTCCTGGCCATTTAGGCAGATTTGTGGGGAGAGTAGGTAACTGGGCTTCATAGTGGGAATATAGACCTGGGATGAAAATATGTTAATAGGGGCTTGTTATCTCAGCATAGCTTTTCCTGGTCCTAGAATTATTGTTGGAATTTTGATACAACAGTTGCTAAGACCTGCTCCTTTGTCCAGGCCCTAGAGTTGTACCTTGGGGTCACAGTCACAGGAATCATGGTGTTCAGTCCCATATGGGAGACAGATGTATAGCAATAATTAACAAATGGGTTTTCGTGTGTAGAATGCACAAGGTTCAGAGGATCCTGAAACATTTTAGTTTGAAGTAGCTGAGACTCAGGTGGGTAGGAGATAGGTTTTATACGTAAAATAGAAAATTGGTTTTCTCCTGCTGACTAGTCTTTATGCCTTTTTCTTTTCTGGGGGGTGGGGGCCGAACCAGGGATTGAACTCAGGTCCTTGCACTTGCCAAGCAAGTGCTTATTCCACTGAGCTCTCTCTCCAGCCCGTGGTCTTTATATGATTTGTTCTACTAACCCTAAGATATCACCATCCTTGTAAGACTTAGCCAATTTGTTTTTAAAAGCCCACCTCTTCCATGAGATATCCGTGACTGTCTCTATTCCTATACCATTTACTCTTTTCCCTGTATTTTTTGTTTTTATGGACCTTACTTCCTCTTTTTAATCTTGTGCGTGGTATGTTGGATTTAGTCTTCCAGTTTATTTCATATCCCCTAGCAAGATCTGATTTAAGTTGTAAGACTCCAAGTTGGGTTCGAACCCGCATGCCCCATTGTTAAACACTTCTGTCTACGTCCATAAAAATTACTACCTTTCGTTTTTGGGAATTGAATTTACAAAAAATTGGAAACGGCTTTCCGGCCCACAGGCGGGCAGGGAAGGTGGGCCGGACCGGGCCGAGCGGGGCTGCGCAGAGGAGCTGCGCGGCTGCTCTGTTGCCGGAACTAATCCTGGGCGCGCCCAGACGCGCGCAGCCTCGCCCCGCCCCCGCGGGGGTGGAAACAAAGGGGGCTCGCGGACCCGAGAGGAGTGGAAGGGGGCGGAGCGCTCGGGCGGTCTCTCGCTGAGCACCCTAGGTTTGTGCTGGCGGGAGGGTGGCCCCAACTCAGGCGTGCTAGGGCTCCCCGGTCCGCGCGTCCGCGGCCTAGCAGCGAGGGTGCGTTGCTTGCGCGCGCAGCGGAAGGCAGTGCGCCGGCGCGCGGTGAGCGCGGGTCCGCGAGCGCCAGGCCGGGTGCTGTGGGGCGGGACCCTCGAGCGGTTGTAGGCCAGTCTCACGTTTGGGGCGCGAACGAGATGGTGCCCCCGAGGCGTTAGCTGACTTTGGTCCGTTCTGGGCTTGCAGCCGACGCTTCCCGGCGCGGCCCGTGTGATGGTGCTGGGAGGAAGGAAACGCCGTGCCAGTGCCTCAGTTGGAGCCCGGGTTCCGGGGTTGAGGAGGCCCGGGAGCGGAGGAGCTGGCGAGCTGGCAGCTGGTTGAGCGAGTGGTCACAATAGGAGGCGGTGGCCCAGCGGGGAGCCGCGGGAGCAGCCCCGCAGGGCGGAGCCTCCCTTCGCAGGTACTGGCTGCTGGGGCTGTTGGTTCCCACGCGAGGGCGGGACGGGCCGCGGCCGTTGGGAGCTTGCGGGTCGCACCGCCTTGAGTCGGGCGGAGATTTGGCCCGGCAGCCCCTCGCTCTTTGTTGGGGGCAGGTGGCGGCGGCGGCGGCGGCGGCGGCAGCGGCAGCAGCAGCAGCAGCAGCAGCAGTAGCAGCAGTAGCAGCAGCAACAACTGCAACAGAGACGACTGCTGTGGCTAGCGGGCGAGCCACCCCGCCTTCGCTTGGCTTATTGCCCAGCCCTCTTACTCCCTCCCTCTGCCGAGGCGCAGGTGAAATGATGTCACCCAGGAGAGCGCAAAACCGGGTCGAAAGGGTCCTCTCGTGGCATTCTTCCCCGCCTACTCCAGCTTTCTGGACAGCCTGTGTTTTGTTCTGAGGAGATGGAAGTCCTTTCAGGACTAAAGAATGAGAGAGGTTGGTTTTTTGGAAAGGGAGCGTTTCAGGTTATTGAGGGCCGAAGAAAAGAGTTTTATATATATATATATATATATATATATATATATATATATATATACATATATATATGTATATATATATAGTTTGTCAGCCTTGCTTTGTGTTGCACAAATAATGTGTATTTAGTAAAAGTTAGATATGTTAACGTGATGTTGTCTTTGCTGCAGCCTACGAATTGGTATTTCATTTTTCATAAGTGGTGACCCTCAGTGCTTGTACACAATCTTTTTTTTTTAGCCTCAGAATTTCAAGCCTTTTGGATCTTATTTGGTTCTAATTGCAGGTACTTTCCTTGTAAGCATATTTATCCCAAGTTTTAAGTAGCAAGGAGTTCTTGTACATAGGCTTTTTAAAAATCGAGTTTTTATAAGGTTATCAAAGTAAATTTACTCCTTCAGGGGTTATGTTCTTATGGAATAAATAGTGCTTGTGTATAAGTAACAGTACATGCTCATATGTAGATGTCAGATTGAGAGTGGGAATCAAAGATAAAATTTCTGACTTGAATTTTACTGAAAATTGTGTCAGATACCTCTTTCAGTAATGTATTTCATCTTTTGAAACCCTTCTAGTAATAAGTCTATTTATTAGAGGTCTGTTTTAAAGTGATTTTTAATTTTCTGTAAAATTTACTCCTGAAAGAATTGGAGGCCTTCAAGGCTATATAATTAAGCTTTGCCACAGACTGACCATATGAGCCTCTGAGCCTCCTTTGTAAAGTATAACATAATTGGACTTTAATAACCTATGTTCCCTCCGCTTCCGATATTCTCTGTAATTCAAAAGGTAGTTTCTGTATTTGTTAAAATTTATATACGTGTTCTCTAAGCTAACCTACATTGGCACATGAATGTGGGTTGATTAGGTATTGATAGTTTTCTGTACTAGAACCTCACTTTTGAAGAAGAGTAATAAAAAGGATGTTATAGTCAGAAATAACTGGCATCATAATGTATGGCCCTTAGGACATAGATTTATTGTGCCTTTGCCCTCCCATTGAATCACTCAACTTATGTTACCCAGCCAGACTTTTCTATTTGTGCTCATTTTGTAATCTTTCTTAGGCTAAGAAGAAACTGAAAGTGAGAATAAAAGCCTCTGAAATGAGAAATTATGTTTTCAAACTTACGTTTGCTACTTACGTTTTATTCCACTTGTTTTAACTGTTTTGGTGCTATCTCTAGTTTAGGCTATTACCAGTTTTAAAAATCATTCTGCTGGGAATAGTTCTTGAATCTTCATTGTTTAATGGTGTCTAGATCTACTTACTAATTTTTTAGTTTTTCCATTTTTAAAAAAAGTATCAGTGTGATAGCAGTTTTTGGTTTTTTTTCCCTACTCTGATTTAGCTGATAGCTTGCTTTTCTTTTTCTCTACAGAGAGAACAAATTGATTATAAACATGCATTTTTGACTGTAGTTAGTTCTGGCCTGGTTTATTCATCAGCAAGTGTTAAATACCTCACTCACATGACACAGTTTACCTAGAAATAAAGCAAATGTTTGAACTCTGTAGTAACTTAATGAGAAAGAAATTTGGAGGGAAAAAAAGAAGGGTCATGTGCCATTTTTAACAAATATTGACATCTTTTCATGTTTTGTTTGTTTGTTTGTTTGTTTGTTTTGTGGAACTGGGGATTGAACTTGGGCCCTTGCTCTTGCCAGGGAAGCGCTTATTCCACTGAGCCATCCATCCCCCCCCCCCATGTTCTTTATTTGCTTATGCCTCACTTCCCTTACTAACTTTTCAGAAATTATTCTCTAAAGAAATTGTGACAATTTTATAAAGGTAACAGAATGACAATTTTATAAAGGTAATAGAATGTGACTCTTTTATCACATCTTTCAGTCATATGCCTATTGTGTGTTTAATTGTTGATGCTTAGAGAGGAAAGATTATAGCAGTTCAGTTTTGGACCTCAACAGTCCAGAATTAGGCTTTTGATCTGTTGTGGTTTGATTTATTTTGTTTTCAAGCAAAGCATATGCTAAGTTGATTAAAGCTTTTTTAAAAAGCAGCTTTAAGCCGGGCATGGTGGTGCACGCCTGTAATCCTAGCACTTGGAGGGTGAGGCAGGAGGATTGCTCAAGTTTGAAGCTAGCCTAAACTATACAGGAAGACCTTATTTCATAAAAATCAAAAAGCAGCTTTATTGAGTGATAAATTACATACCATAAAATTTACTTGAGGATTCAAATAAACTATTTTTGCTAAATTTACAGGTTTTACAACTATTACAGCTATTACCACAGTTAAGTTTTGTACCATTTCTGTCATTCCCCCAAAGATTCCTATGCCTGTGCAAGGCCTTTTGCTTCCAAGGCCCTCCTCCCTCCTCTGCAGTATCAGAAAGCCTCTTGGCACACTCAGCTACCAGAAAACAAAAGCTAAAGAAACAGATTTGTTTTAGGCACAGTGGTACAACTCTCCTCAAAAATGAGGCAATGTTGAGGTCTCGGTCCCTTCTCAGAGAAGGGAGAGAATCTATCTGCAAGCATGCATAGTGTGTATATCTGTCTCACTGCTTTTTTTTCCCCCTGAGCAGGTTTTTTTTATGGCCCTTAACAGAGTTTGCAGCCACAAACTTTTGAGTGGTGATAGGCAGGTGAGCACATCAGGTTTTTTTCATTCTGTGGTGAAAGCTTTTAGCTTGTTTAATTCTAATTAGGTTCATAAGAAACTTGAGATGTAAACTACAAAGACAGGCTTATGTTATCATTTGATTAATTTGGAAGATTATCCTTCCAACACATAGTTGAGTGCCTGCTATATGGTGCACGTTCTACTAGATGTGACAGTGTAGTGAACATTCGACTAATCTTTAGAGCTTAAAGTTTTTCTTCCCAATGTTCTAAAATAAAGTTTATCTCAAATTAATGAGGTTTTATGTATTTAACCTCAGTTTGACTGGCCTTTACAGTTTTGTCCCCTTTTATGGCATCTGTAATTTGGTTGCTGTTTTAATGGCTGTATAATAGTGCATAAAGTAGGTGTGCCATAGCTTTATTTAGCAAATACCAAACATTGATGTTACTTCCGAGTTTTTTTTTTTAATTACTACTATTATACTGTGGTGAATATATTTGGTCATACTGCTTTCCTCTTAGTTTGAAGTATACCTGGAGAATTTATCAGATTAAGAATTACTGATTCAATGGGGGCTGGAGAGATGGCTCAGTGGTCTAAAGCACCTATTTGGAACAAGCTTGGAAAAGCACAGGGACCACGGTTCTGATACCCCAGCACCACATGCCAGCCAGCCCCGCCCCCTGGTGGGCTGAGCTGGCCACACACACACACACACACAATAAATAAATGTTAAAAAAAAAAAAAAAAAAGAATTACTGATTCAAGGGGCCGGGGAAATGGCTCAGTGGAATAAGTGCTTCCCTGGCAAGCGCAAGGGCCTGAGTTCAATCCCCGGTTCCGGAAAAAACAAAAACAAAAACAAAAAACAAAGAATTACTGATTCAAAATAATAAGTATGCTTTTTAAATTGTTAGTAAGATCTACCTGATTACATTTTAAGACATTACCATTTGCTGTGGGAACTCACCACCACCATATGGCTATTTTGGAGAAAGATGTTTTAGATCTTTGAGCACCTTTATTTTGTAGAAGGTACATTACTAATATTAGCCTACAGGCAATGTACCTGCAAATCCTGTACCTCATCTTTTTAAGGAAAACATAAATGAATAAGGAAGAAATCTTTTCATGAGAAGCAATTTCAAAAGGAACAATTTGTGGACAGTGTCTCCTAAATTGTTATTTTTAGAATATTGATGATGATTATGACATTCTCTAAGAAGGTTGAATTGTTGATTATATTATGGTTACCAAAACATAAGGCTGTATTAACAGATGCCTAAAATAGTAAAGTATTGGTGCTTAAAAGGTTAAGCTGTTTTCTGTAAACAAGTCTAACAGAGCAGGGTTTTATTTTCAGTTATGCTGGATAAACTAAATATTAACAATGAGAAGTTCTGAGTGTTGTACATTTAATCTTCTGTTGGGAATGTTTCCATGACAAGACTTTTTTGCAAATACAAGTTACATGCTCAGAGCAGACTGAAGTTACCAGATCTTTGTAGTGCTAATAGGTGACAGTTGCCAGTGTAGAGGGAAAAATAGAATTGTGTCAGCCTTCAGGTATACACTGTATCTCTGCATTTCCCCCTACCTCTACCAGAGATTGCGCTCAGGACCTTGTGCTTGCCAGGCAAGTGCTTATTCTACTGAGCTATCTGTCTGGGTTCTGTATTTTTCTTTTTTAATGTATTTGGTACAGGGTGTCACTACACAGGCAGCTCAGACTTGTAATGATCCTACTTTCAGCCTCCCTAACCACTAGGACTACAAGCCTGTGCCACCACGCCTGGTCTCGGTGGCTAGCTCAGCATGCCTGGGGACAGGGTTAATGCCACCATTGAACCCTTGTCCCTGTGCTTGCCTAAGCATGCACTTAGTCTTCTGAGCTGTCTCACCAGCCCTATCCATGT